GATAGCTACACAATGAGCACAGATAAAAGCAATAGCATCAAAAGAGCAAAGAAAACAATTGTTATTTATATACATGCACACAATTACACAACTGCCAAAATAATAAATTTTGAGCATTAGTTGCTTTTCCCTCTCAGATGCACTGTTCTTATTTGTGTTCATATTAAGTACCTGAATTCACTCAATTTATGCCTCAAAGTGTCAAAGAAATAAAAAGTGCCTCGCATACTTCGTATTACATGACTGTTGAATGGAGCGCTTTCAGGATACATCAGTTATTTCCTATAAAGGTAACTGTCTGAATCTACACATCTTTATGTTCAATACTGCTGTAGTTGAATTGCACAAAAAGAATGATCCCTAAACACCTCCATACTGCAACCATTGTATGCAGTTACTCTTGCACATTTTGATCTGACACTTCTATATTACATGAATGTTACAGGAAAGTTGAGAACCAATCATGCACCACGAATCAGAGTTCTGCATCATCAAAGGAAGATACACCAATCACCAAATTATATAACGGAAAATATTCTTAGCTTGCCTTGGTTTTACAAGTATGATACAAATAGGATTACATTTTCTCTTCTCCATTTATACATATTCTCTACTGAACAGAGTACACAATACATTTTTGTCATTAACAGTCGATCTGTTGGTTTAGTTCATAATTTATAATTTTTAGAAGCAATAATCAACCCTTACCCATCAACTATTATGAGTCCCTGCTATAGGAATTTTTTGATTAAACAGTATGTTGGAGCTTCCGTAACAGTAATTTTGGCAATTTCTCTCTTATAATATTACAAGAAAGTGTTTGGAGACAATACTATTTTTAGGTGTGATCGCAATTAAAAGTTTCAAAAACCTACCTGTTAGCTTCACCAGTGAGAACCCGTGGAAAAATTCTCATAACAATTTATGACCTGTTGGCAATATGTTGAATTATGTATTGATGTACCATGTTCTGCATGGTTGTAAATGTAAATAAAGTTATTTTTACAGATAATATGTTAAGTGTTAGGTTTTCAATGTAAAAGGTTAATGAAGAAAAGCTTTGCATAAAACACTATGACTAATAAATTAATTTTATACGAACTATGATCAAAATTACCAGCAACAGAATAAGCAACCCCCCCACCAAAAAAAAAAGAGGGCAAGAAAATGGATGGTTTCATACCAGGACTTTCCAATATGTATCTTTACCAGCTAGAAGAGATTATCACAAACATACAACTAGAAAAATTGTATATTTGTTTCCATCCCTGGGGACCTCCAAGATAAGCACAAGTGGCTGGAGATGATAAAGGAATAGGATAAGCAGGTATTTTGTCATAAAATGTGTTTACTATATCGAGGAAACCACACAAAATAACAAAATGTCTTGTGTCACCACTACATTATAATTTTAGCTCCCCACTCCCCTACCCATTTTCCTATACTTTTATGAATATCAATAAAAATATAAAATAAGAATTCATTAACAATTAACCTTATTTATGTGCAATATGTTGCAAATTTCATTACACCAGAAGAAAACCAAAAAAATTAAAATATTACAGGTATTTACAGAATATATCTACACATATACACACACTGTACCAATACAAAAATACCATGCACATGGAGTACATACTTTATCAGTATGCGCACATCCCCAGTCTTGAAAATGGGAAATTTATGCGTTGACAAACATGTGCTCTTCTCATCATAAAAACAAAATACTTTTGTTGAAAAAATTAGAGACCTACGAATGAAATAAAATGGCTTTGTAACATGCAATGTTCCTACACAGTGAAACATACAAAGAACACTGAATCATAACAGATTCATACCATCTTTAGCGAAGCAACATCTATAACAAAACATGCTTAGGGTAAACCTGTACTATGGGACAAACTGTCAGATAACTTTTCAGTCTGTACAGTCGCAGCTCTCAGGCATCAGTACCACATTCAGTTTTAATCATCATGTTACAGCTGAGAAACAAAGGCCCTTCTGCTCTGGATTTATTTGATTAATGAACATGACTAAAGATGTCTTAATAGTCAAAAGTTACTTATTCATGGCTTTTCTACAGTATAAATGATATGTTACCATGACAATATACTAACAAAAAATCTTCTTTAAATCAAAACTCATATGGAAATGGTTTAATAATATTTCATGATGCTGTTTCAAAACATGAGAGTAACTCTCAACACTGAATGGATAAAATATTTAGATATGAGATTTCATGAGCATGAAAAATAAAAGGGTAAAAAACTCAAGACAAAAATCATGTAACACTGCAAACCTACAGTTCTGATTTTCAGTATAAGTGAAAAATCTGTTGGCCACACTTGTGACTGCTGCTTTATAGGCTTTCATATACAGCTGATGTGTTTATTATATTCTACAGATCACCTACAATTACCGAAAAAAAGTAGCCTAACTGCTGTATACTTCGGACATGACGGCAAACTTAAGCAGACAACTGATAAGGCCAAGTTCTCCGTGTAACAAAGCACCATGCCACAAAGGCACTTACAGCTGAATGTCACACATGCCTAACCTCAGCACTAGACAGAAATGAATGGTGGACTTATGGCTCATCCCTTATTCT